TGACGCTCGTCAACTACACGGCCGTGACCCAAGCCGCGCGCCGACGCCGCCGCGCCGGGCACCGAGCGCGCCTACTACGAGCACGTGCGCGGCCTCACCTTGGTGCAGTGCATTTTTTCGACCGACTTTGTCTGCCTCGTGCTGGCGTTTGCCGCCAACACCACGATGGCGCTGCTGTACGTCGAGATTGCGACGCCGAGCGTGGACGGCCTGCTAACCTCGTGGTACGACGTCTCGCTCGCCGACGCCAACGCGTTCATTCTCCACGCCGACGTTGTCGGTCTGGCCGGCCGCTTCTGTTGCCCGATCCTCTCGGACGTTCTCTTGCGCGTGCTGTACCTCAACCCTGCGTACGCGCGCAAGCTCGTGATGCTATTGCTGCTGCTCGTACCGGCGGTTGCGCTGCCGCTTCTGCACAGCCAACTCGACGATTTTGGCCAGCTGAAAACACTCATTTTCATCGTCAAGGTCTGCTCGGGCGGCGGGTTTGCGGTCATCGGCTGCTTCCTCACTGATCTCTACGGCGTCTACAACATGGGCACGATGTACGGGTTGATCCTCATGAGCTGGTCCATCGGCATGGTCGTCGTCCGCCTCGTCTTCTCGGGCCTCAAGAGCGACTTTGTCGACCAAGTCCGGCTCATGTGGGTCCTCTCGATTGCTGGGTTTGTCTTTATGGCACTCGTCCGCACCGACAACATGGACCGGTTCTACCTCGGGTACCAGTACTCGGTGTGTGGCAAGATTGTCATCCAGCGACCGTACAAGAAGACGGCCAGTGTGCGGCAGAGCGTTGCGTCGATCGCGCGGTCGACACCGACGCCGGTCGGTGGGATTGCACCACCCGAGGACACGCGCACTCGTCACGACGAGCCCTTCTTCCTCGTGAGCTCCGATTCCGAGACGAGCTACGTCGTCTAAATTATGTATGTACCATATTACTCTAGTCCTTGATTCCTATATGTCCAGCTTGAATCGTGCAACGAATGGGGGTGAAGCCGCCAAGAGCAACTCTGAAAAAGAGAGAAGCAAGGGCATGCGTGCAAGCCGATGCAAAGATGCACTGACGATCGAGAGCTACGAGCGAGGTTCTATGAGAGATCACAAAGATGACGCAGAGAACTGCGAACCTCGAGCTCATCGTACGTGCACACCAACGCGACCCGTATGTGGCGTCGTCGACACCCGGATGTTAATTTGTTTATCCGGACATGTCCTACGCACACGTGGCACGCCCAGTGGGCTCCATACAACGAACGATGCATGAAGGCCACGTGTCGACGACCGAAAAGAGCCATTACGATAGACTACTCATGGTGCACGAGGAGTCGCGTCGCAAGCACCTTTATTTGCGTTGGAGGATGCAACCGCGGCATGAGATGTGGTGCGAGCCGCTGCTTCGACTGCAACGATGACGGCGCCAGCACAGGCGCCAGCACGCGATTTGTGTGCGTAGATCAGTGAGCGTCACAGCATCTCTACAATGCATGCGACGCGCGTCTTGCCCTGACGTTGACGACAGCCGGTCGGTCCGTGCGTTCGGCAGCGTTGTCGCAGTCCGTCATCACGCAACAGCTTCGGTTCGATTCCCATTTCGCACAAGTTTGCCTTTTAAACGACAGCAACGTCATCTCTTTGCTCGAGGCACATGTACCCCCTGACATGTACCCACGGAATGGCAGGTACATCAAGTGCATCCACCCTCTGCGCTCCGTCCACGTTTGCGGCCTCGAGTACTTGACGATTCTCTGGCGCGAGACGAAGACCAAGAGCTGGCCTAACATAAAATCGGTACCGGTGTGCCCCTCGACCTGTCTATCGCAGTTGGACGGTATGCGCAGCGCATGCCGTCCAACTACGACATAGCTACTACTAGTACCCGAGAGGACGGTGTAGCAGAATCGCTTGACAGAACCGCGCGTCCAATCAATGTCTCTCGAGCTCGCACGAAACGAGGGGTCAGCTCTTGGCATCCAACACAACGACACGGTCTTCACGCCACTGTAGCGTGAGCACCTCGGCCATCGCCTCCGACATGCGACCGAAGTAGTACGTCTGATGGTGCAGGGGTCGAGTGGCGACGCGGAAACGTCGTTGCCGCAAACGAGGTTGCGCCCATCGATTCCAACTGCAGCGTCTGCAGCATCGCATGCTCCTCAGGC